GTGTTTGTATTTATATATATATATATATATATATATATATATATAATAAATATACACAGTGCACACTCATATTGTGTAAACAAAAGCTTTTATTTTGGATGCGATTAATCGTTTGACAGCACTAGTCATTATTCAACTTTTAGGGTTGAAAAGGGCACTATAGTTCAAATGCTATGGAAGCCTATTTCCGCTGCTGAAAAAACATAAATAAATAAATCAATAAATAATTGCAACTTTTAATTCTGACTTTCTCAAAATTGTGAGAAATAAACTTGCAATTGCGAGTTATAAAGTCAGAACTGCGAAATACAAACTCACAGTTGTTAAAGTCAGAATTGCAGTATATAAGCTCGCAATTCTGACTTTTTTCTCATCATTTCAAGTTTATATCTCACAATTCTGACTTTTTTTCTTGCAATTCTGACTTCTTTTCTCAGAATTTTGAGATAAAAACGAGTTTATATCTCAAAATTCTGATAAAAGTACATGCAATTGCATGTTGTAAAGTCAAAATTTCAAGATATAGAGGCACAAATCTGAGATTATATCTGGCATTTCTGACCTTATTTGTCAGAATTGCGAGTTTATATCTGGCAATTCTGACTTTGTTACTAGCAATTGTGATTTTATATCATGCAATTCTGAATTGCAAGAAAAAAAATTTGAATTGCTGGGAAAAAAGTCTGAACGCATGTGCTATATTCCAGGTCTATTACAGACCAAATTTTGCATTTTTCATCACTGGTAAGCTTCCCTACCAGTGAGCTGTTAACCATTGGGCCCTGACTTTGAATAAAGCATAAAAGTCACATGTTCCACTTTTATAATTTTTTTTTTTTTGAGGTGTGGGGGATTCTTTTGTATCTTTTTTGAAGCTTGACAGCTTCAGTTGCTGTTCATTGTAACTGCATGGAAAAGAGCATGGAAAAGTCTTCATATATTCTCTTTTTGTGCGCGTGTGTGTTTGGCAAAGGGGAAAAAATGCATGCAAGTTTGGAATGATGAGGGTGGTTATTTATTGGTATAGGTAAAATAATATAGATACTGTAGAGAACGTAAGAGTCTAGAAAGTTAAATTAACACATGGATCTGCAGACTATGTATCTGTTTTCATTGAACTGCTTGGATGTAGACCTGGGCCTGCAAAATGTTCACCTCAACGTCATTTCTAAAGTCAGACTCCAAAGGAGCCAAAGGAATACGTGCTTATTATCTAAACATGAGAGTACTGCTTGAATATGCCAGGCAGCCCTCCATACAGCTGGAGCCACTTGCTATTGTTTTATGTCATTTACATTCCCTGTTGCCACAGTCCATCATAGCAAGAGTTTAGAAAATGACCATAATCAAAAGTTGACATTCCATTAAGCATGAAATCCAGAGCTATCTGTTCAGAGGTTTAATGAAATGGAAGTTCAGCTTTTGTGTTGCTGAGGGTATAGCTATACATATTCAAAATTGAATGGCATCTTGGCAGATAGAATTTCTATTGTTATAAAAGTAGTAACTGTCTGCCTAAAACGTCATCATTGCTTCAGTGTTTGCATAATTACGAATGCATGATATTCTACTTAGAAATTTGATGAGGCATGTGAGATCATTTAAACTTTTTCACTTTTTTATCCACTGCTGAATCAAAAATATGTCCCTGTGGTAAATTTAGAGCATTAATTCTCAGGTATATCAGGGGTGAGAACAGCTGTTGGCAAGGTGTAGGTGAATGCAAGACTTCTTTCCCAAACAAACAACAAAAAATGTACAGGAGCACAGTGAGGTCTCTCCCAGTACTGAAGGACTTCAAGTGAGCCTTGACAAGTCTGGCCAAAGAGCCAAAGGACTGGGTGGATTTATTTAAAAAACGTTAAATCATCTCAGCAAGGTCAGAAACTGGGTTGTCTACCATTGATATATGAGAAAAATGAACAAAAATGTGGCACTAGACTGTGCTGTTTTTCCCCCCCTATTTTGTCCACAATGTCTGAATTTAGCTGCTGTGAAACAGACTTGTCATGATTAGTTTACATTTACATTACATTTAGTCATTTAGCAGACGCTTTTATCCAAAGCGACCTAGAAATGAGGACAATGGAAGCAATCAAAATCAACAAAAGAGCAATGGGTAACACTTTAGAATAATGGTCCGTTGTTAACAATATAACAAGTCTCAGTTAGCTTAATGCAGTACATGTAGCAAGGTTTTTATTTTTATTATATAATAAATAAAAGGAAAACCGATAGAAAAGAAAAAGAATAGAGCAAGCTAGTGTTAGAGGCCTTTTTTTTTGCTTTTGTTAATTGTATAATAAATGAAAAGAAACAAATAGATTGAATACAAAAAGATTGGAAAAGCTAGTGTTTAAATTTTTTTTTTTTTAAAGAAAACAAGCAGTAAATTAATAGAGTGGGGGGTTTTTTAAGAATACAGAGTGCTAGAGGGTCAAAAAATATGCAAGAGATGTGTTTTTAGCAGGTTCTTAAAGATGGCTAAGGACTCAGCTGCTCGGATTGAGTTGGGCAGGTCATTCCACCAGGAGGGAACATTTAATTTAAAAGTCTGTGAAAGTGATTTTGTGCCTCTTTGGGATGGCACAATAAAGCGACGTTCACTTGCAGAATGCAAGCTTCTAGAGTGCACATAAGTCTGAAGTAATGAATTTAGGTAAAGGGGTGCAGAGCCAGTGGTGGTTTTGTAGGCAAACATTAATGCCTTGAATTTTATGCGCGCAGCTATTGGTAGCCAGTGCAAATTGATAAAAGGTGTGACGTGCATTCTTTTTGGCTCATTAAAAATTAATCTTGCTGCCGAGTTCTGGATTAGTTATGTTAGATTCCGACAAGTAGAATTTGAGTCAGTGACATGACATTCACTTCTTCCTATATATTAATGTTTATATATTTTATATTTTTTTGTCTTTTATTTATTCAAATACATTCAAGTGTAATTCACACAAATACATTTGTAATTTGATGATTGTGTTCTTAATTTCTTTTTTTTTTTATTGCATGGTAATACAGCTACCCATAAAGAATGAATCCTTATAAAAGACAGAAATTCCTGAAAATAAAACGTTAAATAGTTTTGCATATTTTTTTACTTTGGTCCAACAAATCATATGGTGCAACTAACATTCAGGAACATAAAAGATAAAATTATATCATTGAGAGGACACATGCAGACTGTCATGGTTGCACTACTGAGTAGAGTACGGAGCAAGGAACGGAGAGAGACGAGGAGTACATCAATCCAGAGAAGTTTAATTTCAATAAGGAAACAAGGGAAAACTCACAAAGCACAGGTAGACTTGAACAATACCAGACGTGGAACTAAAAGCAAGGAACACAATTTAAACACATGACAAGACGAGGGGATGATGAGACACACCTGGGATCAATGGAAATAAACGGGGAACACCTGGAATTAAATCAACATAATCAGGACAGGAACAGGAAACTAACCAAATATGGGCATAAACACTGGGACACAGGGAGCACATGGGGAACAAAACACAACACAAGCCTGACACAGACATTGTGTCAGGGTGAGTAGTCTCTTAAAATATCAGATAATTTTACCTTTTTTAGCAAGGTTAGTTTAAGCTGTAAAATGTCATGTAATGGGACTCCCCACAAAAAAGAAAACAGAAACTTTTTTTTTTCAGAACTACAAAAAAAAGCAACAAAGAGGGATATTTATATATATTCTTGTAAGAATTGTCCTGTTCTTTTTCATGAACACATTAACATGTCGTTTGTTCTTTTGCATACGAGACAAACAAAATGTCCACAAAAGTTTAAGCCCACCAAAGCAGTCTGCTCATCCCTAATGAGCAGGTTGTTGTTCAAATTACTAGTTTCACTTCTAATGTGTGTCATTCTCATAAGTTTTTGTTGGCCATGGGTGTAGAACATTAACGTCTAATTTGACTAACTCTATGATCGCTGCTTGCCTAGGTATGCCATATAGAACTATAACTTAAAAGGCATCCCGGAATGAAAATATACTGTATCTTCCTTAATGTGTTTGTTCAACTGACCACAGACACAGTTTGCAAATATTTCGAAGACCATCAACCCACAGGTTTGTTTGCAAGATGAGCACTGGTGGATGATGACAGTGAGGGCAGGCAGAAAGCCCACGTGAGGTCAAACAAGATGATTTAATATTTTCATATTCAACCTTAATGCGATTTTGTTCTTTCCTCTCACTCTGTAAAACTAATTTGCTGTGAAAAGCAATCCTGTGCCAAACGTGAACTGAGATGGCCAAAAACCTTTCATGCATTATCAAAATGGCAGGAATTTCACTCCAGAATCACATTCCACATCAAGGAGGCCAGTTGCAGCCAGTGTAGTGATAACATACTTACTTTGATTTTGAGAGATGCACCCGCAGCGACTGTACCATCTGTTTGTGGCTGGCAGACACAGGCTTTTAGTCTCTCATGAATGGGCACCAGACAGATTCTTCATTTTCACTACAGTAGTATGGCTTTTTCTTTCTGGGGGTGCTTGGGCCAGAGCAGAGACTGGATCTGTGTTTTGGAAAGGGTGCGAGTGGCGGGAGCCACAGCCTGAAATCAATACAGCATTACCCCATCATCCTTATACTTAAATCCCAGTGATGGAAACAGCAGATGCCTGCCGGAATAATGGGCCACTTCATGGCCTAGACAGTCCATGAAGACTTTAAATACCGTACATGTCCGCCTACAAACAAGGACTGAATCTGTTCATGTACCAGCTAACCAGCCAAGTCTGCAGTCTTTTATATTGGGCGCAAGATAAAGAGAAAATGTTTGGACAGGGATCATGAGTGTGACTGAAGTGTGATGAAAATGTATATTGGTACTGGTGATTTAGATAAGCTTGTATTTATATTGAATGAATTATTCAGCGAATGTTGACTGCTGCTTTATTGCTTTGTCAGTGTTGATTAATGAGTGATAAACTGCTGGTGTGTGTGTGTGTGTTTTGTACAGGGCCTAGCGGGGTTGGTGTGACCGAGTTAAAGAGAAGACTTCTACTCTCTGACCCAGAACACTTCAGTGTATCTGTGCCATGTGAGTTCATATAACATTTGTGCAATACATCATCCTAATAGTACACCTCTTTAGAGTTGCTTAAAGTTCAGTTCACATCCTGTTACCTCGAAACTGTTACCATCCAAACTGAATTACAATAGGGACATCATGAGAGGGATCAGACAGACCATTCATAGCTAAATTAATGGGAATAATATGGTGGGAATAAAAACAAAATAATGGCTATAGACCTTATCCGCCAGAGAAACAAGTATGCAGCCATCTTTAGAATTTTGCCTTTGAACTTTCATTTTAGTAGCAGCTCTGTATATGTCTATGACATCGCTGTTGAAGAGAAATTAGCTGGTGAAGTAGATTTAGTTATTGTAGAGTTAACGAAAGTTAGCATGAGCATTGTAATGTTTGAAGCGGATGTCAAAACAATTGTCAATAGATCGGGAAGATTTTAAAATGAGCGGTTCATTCATAAATCTATCAGATTTTACCTTCATGCTGTGGAAATACAAATCGGAAAATGAAAATGGGTGGAGCTACATAAGGTCTAAGAAAACCTGTCTGCTTTTTGATCAGACAAGCATCACCTGTTTGGGGACATTGGATAGCCACTGTTTAAGGTTTTCATGAAATGTCTGTAATATACTTTGGTTAAAATTCCCCAGTGGTTGTGTAAAACAACACCCTTTTTACCTTGTCAAAAACAGCTCTGTTCACAGCGACCCGTTTTGGTACATGTCTCTTTAAACGATAATGAGCTACTGCTCACTCCTGAATTGCTGCCTTTTAGACTCCATATTTGGCTCTGAAGTGGTTTTATTCAAATATAGCTGTCTATGTAGAAACCGGCTGCAAATTGAAACAGCTCACTGGATGACACATTTTAGAATCATACAGCCCATAACGAACTGGCTGCGTGTTTTCTTTTCAGCTTTTCTGAGCTGGTCCAATCAAGCAAACTGACTAACAAGAATCAAGAACAACCATATTTCTTAAAAGTAAAACTATTGCCTTGACTCCACACTCTTGTAAATGTTCATGAATAATCTGTAGGCAGACCATCAAATCTTTCCACATTGAGGCCTAAAGCTGTGTTGGACTGCCAGAGTGGAGAAGAGAACAGAACCAGCTTTTCACTGCCACTCTGAGTGTCCACGAGTGATGTGGACAGGGGGCGATAGAGTGATGAAAGAACAGGATAATTACAGCCACTAACAGCTAGACAGACGATGCAGTGATGGAGTGAGCGGTGTGACTTTTTCTCTTTATTCTGGAAAAAGGCCATGTTTCTGCTTTAGGTTGGCGTTTGTCTTGCCTGTTTCTCCCCTTTGGAAGCTCAAACTAACAGCTTTCCATATTTCTGACTGTGTTCCAAGCTTCCGAACTGTAGCGAAACAGGGTTAGGGTCTAAATCTGTCTGACATATACAGTTATTTGATTTATGACATTTAAGTAGTGAGTTAAAATCGATCAGTAAGATGGTGGCCGTGATTTAGCATCAGCATGTAGCCTTATGAGCGCCACAACTAATGATAACCACAACTAATAAACAGCTGTGATCACACTGTTTCCAGTTCAGTGGAATAAAGTGTTTGTAACAGACTCCTGCTGCCTTTAAATGTCCATATAAAGCTTGCACTTCAAAGCTAACACACACTGAAATGGGCTTGTATCTGCTGTTTAATGACTGGTAACAGTGTTTTGTTGATGGGTTTAGATCAGTTTTTGCAATATAGCCATATCACTTAGTATGCATGCATGCTCCATGAACAGAAGGTTTTTCGTATGATTTGAAAGGTTAGATGAAGAGGACACACTCACTCACACACACACACAAATCACATTGGCACGACATCTTGCCCCCACCCCCACTGGCAGTAAAAGTTTATAGTTTATTTTGGAATATACAGAGAACGTGTGGACAATTAGAGTTAGGGTGTGTGGCGAGCTCCTCAGGCCTTGTTAAGCTCACCTCTGAGCATACTTTCTGTGTGACTCAGTCTAGTTAAATAAGGGTCGTACTACCTAACCCTTGCTCAGTTTTGGACACATGTTACCAGAGACAGCTCTGCTTCCACTTGTATCAAATGTGCACTTGTATTTATTGTAGTGTACATTGATAATAATACATAGGACCCTGGGGCTACAGCAAACCCAAGGGTCCCCTTCATAGAAGAGGACACACTCACTCACACACACACACTTACACAAATCACATTGGCACGACATCTTGCCCCCACCCCCACTGGCAGTAAAAGTTTATAGTTTATTTTGGAATATGCAGAGAACGTGTGGACAATTAGAGTTAGGGTGTGTGGCGAGCTCCTCAGGCCTTGTTAAGCTCACCTCTGAGCATACTTTCTGTGTGACTCAGTCTAGTTAAATAAGGGTCGTACTACCTAACCCTTGCTCAGTTTTGGACACATGTTACCAGAGACAGCTCTGCTTCCACTTGTATCAAATGTGCACTTGTATTTATTGTAGTGTACATTGATAAGAATACATAGGACCCTGGGGCTACAGCAAACCCAAGGGTCCCCTTCATAGTAGCCTAGCCTTTTATTGAATTGATATTTTACTTTAATTAGAGTTTATTAGAACAATTAAATTATCTTTTGTAGTTGCCCTAATTAAAAGCTATTAAAAGGCACTGTAATTCTTAAATTCAGAGTTAACTGTAGTATTAGTAAGATCATCATTTTCTATTTGGGGTCTCAGAGAATTATAATTAAATTATTTTTCTGGGATCACATGAAAAAAAAATGGGAAAAAAAACATTGTTACTATACAATGTAATACCAGTCATATTTGTTTATGTTATGGTAAACAGATAAATCAATAATAATATCTGACAAGTAGCTTTTAAGGTCAAAGGAACCTAATAAAAGTTTTTGTAAAAACAAATCACATTAATTTCACAATTACTATTATTTTTACAGGTCTCTGGGATCTGTAAGTCAACCTCAATAGAATTTGATTTTGATTATTTTTTTCTTTAATTTCAACAGATACCACTCGGCAGCGGAAAAGGCATGAGAGAGAAGGGGTGGAGTACCACTTTGTCTCCAAACACACTTTTGAAAAAGAAATCCTCAACCACAAGTAAGCTAAACACCCCTAAATGGTACTCAGCCCATGTTGTAGCTTATTCTAGAGGCTAGTTTTGGGTTGTGTTGCTTTACATTGCTAAACCTATTTTGTTTAGGGAGCAATTATGGAAGTTTACAGTCATGGATAAAAGTTTGTTAATACATATTTAAAATAAAAAAATGCATATTTTAAAATCAAACAACACATTTAATAATCTACAACTTCATGATAAACTTCTTTTTATCTAAAAATGATTCAAAATCATGACTTTAAATAGTGGATTTGTAAGAAGCCGACTACTTTATTCCTTCCTTTAAAGATGCTCATGGAATTTAAATCACACATTTAATCCTTGTTAATGCTGAAAACGCAGATCACATCCATTGACAGGAAATACTCTCTTTCTCCAATTTTCACTCAAAAGCGAGAGGAAATCTCAAAAGCATGTGTCCGTGAACAGTGTCACATTATATTAAACTAGGGGGATATTTTAAGAGCCCTCTGTGGTTTGAAATGACTTTTTGTCTTGTTAGTTGGACATAGGGAAAGAAGTCAAAGCAAGTGAGACAGGAATGACAGAGAGCAGACAGCCCAACTTTCCAGAGAGACGCACTAGAGAGAGGAAAAGCGGACTGCTTTTTGCATCACTCCACCGAATTACCATCATCTTTGATTACCGTACAAAAGCCTTGAAGCCAAAGACTAAAGATTACTAAAGTTACTACCAGAACTAAGCAGTAGGACCCTATCTCTACTTCACTAAAACAACATCAACTAGGCAAATGATTTCAAAATTATAAAAGGATTCTAGTTTGAAATCACTAAACAGTAGATCTACTTCTGCATGTTGTATTTTAGCACAAAACCCTATAGCCCAAAACCCAGGTTAAAGGCCCCTTCACACCAAGCACGATAACTATAAAGATAACGATAACGATATAGTTCTAAAAATCATTCTCAATATTAAATAATAGCATAGTTCACACCACAACTATAACGATAACGATACAGAGGAACGATATCGTTGTGATCACTTTCAAAACGATTTTTTTCCAGCTGATGAACGATAAAACACTGACAGCCAATCAGAATCCATCCTGTTGTAACGAGCTCAAGAATTTAAAGCGGCAGATGCATGTACGCTTAGAATAAATAGACGATATCGTTTGCTGGTGTGGACGCTAATATCGTTATCTTTATAGTTATCGTTCTTGGTGTGAACGGGACTTAACTCCATATTAGATGCATATTTAAATAAACTCAGCATAAACATGCCTTCTTTTATGTAAATTAAGAGTGGTTGCTAGGGTGTTGCTATGCAGTTGCTAATGTGTTCTGAGTGATTTGAAGAAACCTTGAGTTGTTCTGGTTATGCAAATTCTCTATGGTATGGTTGTTTTGATGATAGAGTGGTTGTCAGGGTGTTGCTATGTGGTTGCTAAAGTGTTCTGAGTGATTCCAAGCAATCTTAAGATGTTCCAGCAATGCCAGGAATCATCAGGAATAAAGTAGTTTCATTATACATTATTCACAAAACTACTGTATGTGCTTGTTGCAATTAAGATTACACTATTACCGCCCATGAAAAGCAGGTGGTAAATTAAATTGTATTATAATGATAGTATGCTAGATTGTAGTAGTATGTTATGTCCTCTACAAACAAGCACTCTAGTCTGCAAAATGGGGAATTTGTATTGTCACTAGATTCAGGAGTTAACCAGTTAGCAGCATGTACAATAAATGTACAAAACACATACTTAGTATTAATTCTCCTCTCCATTTAGGATAAGTGGTGCACTTGACTTTTGATAAATAAAGCTCAAATTGATTTGCTGTCTTATTTTATATGCAAATGTCACACTTATGGAATGCATTGCATTTTCATGCTGGATTGTTCTTTAAAGGCCATTCCTCAAATGTTTG